AGGTGTTCAGTGCGTCTCATGCCTTGCTGTTTGTATGTGCACCATCCCTTCACGTTGACCATGGAGTCAACTGCGTTTTCCGCGCGCAGGGCTCCCAACCTTCCCCTTTTGGGATTTGCTGAGTGTTTCATGAGTTTTCCTCTCGGGGAGCCTGTTTGAGGCGGATCTGATTTCTGTGGCGGCATGCGTTGCTAGCTGCAAGGAATATAGCAACATAGCAACACGCGCCGCATGGGGCGATAGATGGCGATAGCAAACTTAATAACGCGCAAAGGTGCTGCACAGGTGGGACACGTGCTTCAAGACACCACCTATCCTCCTTGGAACTTTGAATCTGGCTGTGCTTGCTTGAGGTGGTGGTGGCGACATCCCCGAAGGATCCCGAAGCGAGGATTTGCGCGGGAGCCTGGGCGGTGCATCGGGGTTAGGCCGGCCAACCCTCTTTTTTTGAACTGTTTCAATCAGCCTTATTCAGACAACCTTCTTTTATCTTCTTTTGGTTTTCCTCCAAAGGAGGATCAGGGCCTGGTTGTTTCAAGCAATGCTGCCCAAGGTCACTCACTCCATTTGAGTGACACCAGTTTCTTCATCACTTTTAGGGTGTATGGAGTTCAATGCTGCTTGCAAGGCTTGCAACATGCCGGGCTACAACCTTCAGAATGTAACCTCCTGCGTGTACTTTGCGAGAGCAACTTTCAGATCTATGTTCTGCAGTTCCTGCCCCCGATGGAATGTCCGAAATTGTCGCATGTTGTGGCAGACCATGACAGGGACATGCCAGGCATGACGCATGTAGCATGTTCCTTCGCTTATGCTTGCCGGCGGAGGATTGGTTCCCCGAGAGGGGCCTTTGCGAGGAAGCAAATTGAGGTCGGTCTCACACCCCGGTGGCCAGAAAGCCCAGAACCCGGATTATGTGGACAAAACCAGTTTGTTTTTCCCCGATAATTTGGCATGGCTCAATTGCTGGCTGGTGTACTTCAACCTCGAAGCTCTGCAAAAATCCCTGTTCACTAAAGCCTCCTCCACTCGTGGAGGCAAGCGTATCCTCGGGCTGGCTGGAGACAGAGCGCGGAGCTTGGATGTAGATCTACAGAACTCGCAGTAGGGGCAGAAGGCAGCCTTCACGGAGAGGTCATTCGCCTTCACGGAGAGGTCATTCGGGAATTCAAAACGATACTTTCGAAGTCATACTAACTTTGCAGAGTGGAGCCCCATTGGAATCAAGCGTTGCCTGCGAGTCACAACAAGTTGTGGCTGGTTTGATTGCAATCTCTCGCGGATGAACAGCAGTGATCAAGTTCCTGGACACAGTTCGAACCTTTTGAAACGGGCGTGCTCTTGATTGATGCGACTTTGATGCATCATGTTTTTTCAGTTTCGCCTCAATCCTGACACGCGAGGGGAACCTGAATCAAATGCTGCAACTTGCTTGATGTGGATTCCAAGCTTGCCTTCAGACAGTCAACCTGCAGAGGGTTTCCTGACGATGCCATGTAGGTTGCTGCCATGGTTGTCAGGGCGCTGTAATGCCGGCGGGTGGGGAAGCCAATCGTACTGAGGCGGTTGGTTACTGTGACGTGCAACTCATGAATGTTCAGTACTTATAAACAGTAGGATAAATATACTTATTCATTGCCCCGAAATTGTGGGTAAATAGAGACTCAGGTAGTAGGTCATGAGGCTTGGTGTTCCTTGCCCAGTCTTTGGTATGCCTGAGCAAGGTCAAAGTGACAAGCCTTGGCGAGGAGAAAGAGCCACCCGGCTTCAGATCAGGGCAAGTTGCTGCGGGACAGCCCCCAAGCTGCAACACTGCGGTGAAGAGAAGCACTTCTTGCGTTGCTTCTCTGGACGGTGGCAAGCACCTAGCTCTCATGTCGAAGATGCCTTTGGCGTGGGGTTGTTTGCTTGCTTGCTTGCTTGCTTGCTTGCTTGGTTGTCTGTAATCTTCCCCCTATTAAAACATACGCCCCCCCCCCCCTATTAATAAATATTGGTTCAGGGGTAAATTATAATTATTGATAGGGTAATCAGGGTCGATAGGATTTCCTCTTCGGTCTTCATCCAAAGGGGGCACGAACAACACCAAAATCGCAACTTCCGAGTAACGAATTCAACAGAACAGTTCAAGGTTGTCTATTCGTTCTTTCTGTTCAATTAATGAAAGACATTCAAGATAGTAAAAGGTACATATGAATTGATAATTGTAATGCGAGCTTAATCTGAAACAATCCTGTTTAAGTAAACGCTCAAGTGAGTGCAATCCTGCCACATCTTTTCCATCTCCACTGTGTTGAATGCCTGTGTTTATGGTTGCCTGACCGCTTCTCGTTACCCTTACCGATTTCAGCCAAGGTGGCTGAGTGGCAAGGATAGCCAAAATTGTTTTGCTGAGCACACCGCCTGGCCACTTGTCAACCTGAATGTACTCACAAGATGGCATGTGAAGAGGTCCCAAAGCAGGTTCTATCCTGAGCCTTTAACAGCCTTCTTGAGAAAGGAAAACGAAGAGCACCTGGGTCACTTAAATTGGGACCCGTTGTGCTAGAACAGCCCTGTGAATTGAGTGACCATGTGTCTACGGATCTCCCATCCCTGCCTGTCAAACATGAGATGTTGAAAGGCAAACAAAAAACATAGGGTATCTCACGTAGTAGAAACCTTCAGCAAAACTGAGCTTGATTGAAGCCGGGACAACCATTTACTTTGGAAGGGGGGCCTTTGGTCCAAGCCTCCGGTGAAAAAGGCTGGTTGACTTCGGTTAGTTGGTGCGAGCATGTATCAGCGCAGCTGATATGGAAGTTGCACTTGGAAGTATTTTGGCAAGTTACCCCCCCCCCCCCCCAATCCAGCAAAACACCCGAACCCCCAAGCCCCTAACCCCCAAGCCCCTAACCCCCAACCCCCCCCAAACCCCAACTCCCCTTCTGATTCTAATAATGCCCAAGCACAGCCCCTTCAGTTTCACATGGCCCCATTCAGCCGAACTCCTCAAGGACGACATGCAGAACTCAGATAGTTTGAGGATCGATCTGGCCTTCTCATTATTTACCATGGGTGAATCGAATAATGTCTTGAAATCTTAGTACAATTTAAGGATTTACCCAGTTTGGGCCATAGATTAATTAACTATTCATGATTGTTGTTTTGGGGGAGGTAGCCTAGTACCGGGTACCAGGTTTCGATTCGACTTTCGCTTAGGATCTTGGTGCCGCGGGGCCACGTGTGGCTGGAGGGGGACAACAAGAACGCCTCCCACGACTCCAGGCATTACGGGCCTGTGCCAGTGACTAGGATGCACAGCCAGCCGCGTATGCCGCCCGACCGTTTTTTTTTGGCCGAAGCCTGTGACGACTTCCCCTCGTTCTCATCTCTTAGCTGTTACTGAGTCACCTTGAGATGCTGGCTGCTGGTCGCGTGTTGCTGTCCCATGCGTTTTAGTTGTGCTGTCTTGTGCGTTGGCCAGAACTGCAAGAAGCTGTGCCGAATGTGCGCACAAACAATGTAAACACCATTGAGGTTCAGGTACAAGACAGGAAAGGTTAGCCAGCAGCGTCGAAATTCAATGGTGGGCTTGGAGGCCCGTTCTTTTCCTGGGAGCCTTCGCATGATTGGAATTGGCTATATCTTGGTCGGCCCTGCTTGTGTCGACTTGTTTTTGCCTTGTAGGAGCTTCTTCCTGGGTTTTGTTTCCTGACGTTGTTTGCATCTCCTGTTCCAGGATGCAACCCTCAGACGCGAGCACCACATAAATGCACATTTCCCTTCTCCTGCTTGGTGCTTCTCAAAGCGGACAACCACCATGGGCATTTGTTTCATCAAACATTGCGTGCTCAGAAGGACCGAGTTAAGTTGTCAATTTGGAGCTAGTGTCTTCAGAGCAGTTCCGGCTTGTGAATGCTGGCAGCTAGTTCTAGCTAGTTTTTCCACAAGCAAACCAGCCATCAAACGGACAGCCCCTGTTTCCGCACTGTCTGGAACGGATAGCTGTGAGTTCGTGCGTTGCTTGGCGCAATGTCATGCGCGGGCCAAAGGTGGGCCTGCTGCAGGGCAAGGTGAGGCTGAAACTATGGCCCATGCTGGAGATGGGCGGCTTGGCTAGTTTGGGGGCATGCGCTGGGAGTGATTCTCACCAAATATTGAATTGACTTTGTAATGCCGAACTCTTGGTCTTCCAGTGTCTGTGAATTTTGGTCATCAAACTTGGTTTGGCGCATTGGGCGCGTGAGGATTGCAGCAGCCGGCCAATCTGATTTGGTGGGGATTCCCATGTAGGCCCAAGTGAAATAGACCGCATGATAGTGGGTCGGTGAATCGTGGAGTTTGGAGTCCCCAAGAGTTGAATTACTTTGTTCGCCTTTAAGCTCCAGCCCGCCTAGCCACAACCATCAACCTCACAGTCAAGGTGAGCACTCTTCAGCGCAAACCTCTTCAGCCACAGCCAAGTGTGCATAACGCATGTTTGGGGTGCCAAGGACCCGTGCGCGTGGTGCCTCCATAGCGGGCTCCGAGACCGGGAGTGGTTCGTGCCTCAAAGCTCCATGCGTCACCAGCAATCATGGAAGTGGACGAGGTTGGGAAGAATCTCCCCAAATACCGTTGCAAAGGGTTTCGATTGGCTGAAGTGATCAAGCACGGCAAAGCGTCAGCGACCGATCCCTCCAGTGCTTCGCGCATGCTTCAGGTGTTTCAGCGCGACCTTTGGCGCCTGGATGCGGTGAGGATGTGAGTCACCGCAGCCGTGTCCATGGCAGCCTTGCAGCTGCCTTCAATTACTTGTTGTTGATGCCTGTGTGGTTCGGGGCACTGACACCGCGCATGCTTAGTGAGATTGGCAGCCAAACGTTTCTCCTTGCAGGGCATGTGCTATGAGTACCTGTAGCAGCAAGGAAGCGCTGGAATGATGATGTTCTCAGGAAAAATCGGCGGTAACATTTGGCCGCCCCCGAAAAAAGGGGGGGCAGGGCGGACAATAAATAGGTCTTGCCGGGACCCGGCAGGTGGTGCCGCTGCCAAACCACATCACAACTTTGCCGCGGCCCAAGCGCAAACCTGAGCGTTAGCATGTGTTTGCTTGGTGGCTCCCAGCCATCCCGTTAGTTTTTACGCCTTTTAGTGTTTAGTGGTAGTTTCCATTTGGCCCACTAAAAGTTGAACTTTAGCGCGGGATCTCAGGGCAGCCCAGTTTGTTGAGTGTATGTAATGAATTTACAGCCACGTGTTTGACACATGAGGCATGGGAATCTGAGGTCAAACCCAGAAAGCAACCAAAACCGTCCTACCTCAACGTTAGCGCCGGCCTCAGCTGCCTAATTGTAAATACGTGTATGAATGTTGAATGCACATGCCGGGATTTTTTTTTTAAATAGCACGGTTCCTGGTGTGGGTTGCTGCCTTTGCGAGGTGCCAATCGTCCAAGAGCTGATGGTAGTTCAGTGGAGGAGGCGCTGACAACACAGTCGCACATACGAGACACATGACTGTGAGCCACATTGCAACGACTGCAACTCGGACAATTTGGTGCCTCATCAAAACATGCGTGTGGTGTTCTCAAGTCTTCAGTGGATATAACACACGCGTGGTGTTTTCAAGAATTGTTCAATCAGTTTGCGGTAGTTCTTATTTACATCCATGGATATGCCGTCCAGGCCATTGCTGCGGCCCTGGACTCTGGAGGCGGAACTTTGCGAGAACGTGTACATCCGAAGCGATTAGGTTTGTTGGTATACTGGGGCTGTGGGGCAGGTTCCTGATGCTTTCCCTTTGGGGCTGTTGGAGATACTCCTTGGGATATTTAGTGGCAACCATTGGATTTGGTTTTACTTGGCACGATGAACGTTTCTGGGTCAAAATGCCCACGACGATACGATCTCACTCGCTTCTGCCTTATGCAGATACCGATGCAGACATGGATCCCCTGGCTGCCCTTGTTTTTGGTTTGGCAATTGGCATTGATTGATACTGGTGGCATGCCGGGCCATCACAGAGAAAGGCCTACCTGAAGATATGTGCAGTTCCCCAATACATCAAACGTTGCAGATAATCCACTGGATCCATTGTGGCAAGCTGCGTGGGCTAAGACGATTTCGGGGTAATAAGTATTTGTGTTTCAGGTTGGTGGATTTTCGGTCAATGCAGGTTTCACTATTTGAACAAAGTGAGCGATGATGTTGCGTTTTGTGTTTATTCAACAACAAGTCCGGGTATTTGGTCCTTGCCCTAGCTTTCCAAGTTGAGTGGTTTGAGGACATCCCATGGCCGTTTTATCGATGGCACGTCACATGGTATGTTGTGTTTTGTGGGTTTTGCATTATTTTAGTTGTACGAAGCTGTTTTTCTTCGTAGACTCGATTTGAAGTGTGTGTTTTCCGTTTTTCGATCAGCAAACCACGGGCAACATGAATGGAGATCGTGGGTTTAACCAGGCAGTTGGTTTCGTAAGAACCAATTCTATGTCCAACTTGCAGACTTCGCTGGCCGAGTCCGCCGTGGTTCAAGCGGGCCGTTGCCAAACATGAGCGCCATGCAAAGAAGGCGGGTGCGGGTTTAGAGTCAATGAAAGAAACTGCATTTTTGCAGGTGTCATGTCATCCGTTCGGTTTGCAGTTGTGCAGCCGACCGAACAAGCTGGGAGAGAGTTTGTACCATTGGATTCACAGCGCTGTGTTTTAAATGATCCAAATGCGACAAGCAACCGGAATTTGCAATGCATAGATGTGCAGACACTGAACTTGAAGGTTTGATGCAATGTTTGTTTTCTATGTTGAGCCTAAACATTATCGATGGCCAAGACCACCGTGACCTTCTGATTGCACATTTGGTTTGTTGGCTGATCTTCGTCATTGATTGGAATGTGGACAGCCATGGGTATTAAGACAGTAGTTGTTCTTCATGTATGAGAATCTGCAAGTGCATGCCTGCAGTGTTTGGACACAGCCTGATCGAATTGCTTGGCATGGGGGACAGGAGACTCTAGGCCAAAGAATGCGTTTCGTTGCAAGTAGTTGGAGTTTGCCTAACCGTGTGGTGGGTACAGTGCTCGTTGGCCGTCCATTCCGAGGCGACAGAATGCCGTGCTGGCGGCTGGTCTCTGTGGAGTGGATGGGAGCTCAGGGGGCATGGGTTCAAACTGCTCTCAGTGGATTCAACCACTGCATTTGGTTCCGTTGTTTCTGCCAGGCATTGGGCAACCCGGAAGTGGGTTTCTGGTTTGAGAGAAACAAATTCAATGTCCACATAAGTTCCAACCGATCTTGAGATGCATCTCTTGGTGAGTCGGGGTATTTGTAGAAGGTGCGAAGAATTCTTCAGTTTGCAAGCACTGCCGTGCCCCGAAGACCCATGGTGTTTTTTCCTCCGGCAAAATCTATGGGGACTTCGCCAATCCCTGGGATGGGTTTCGGCAGGCTTCCGGGTTCCCAAAGGTTGGGCAACTACGGTGGATACTTGGCCTTGATCTTGGGCGTCAACCTGGGGTCGGGGGTTTCCTAAGATGTCATCAATCCTGGAGTCATCACTTTTACAATGGGTGCAATAGACATCATTTTAGGGGGTCCCAATTAGTCGCGCTGTGCAGCGCCCGGCCACCTTGAGGCTTTTCTGAGCCTCAGCCCAGCCTTTGCGGCCTTGGCAGGGCAGAGCCGCCAGACCCTCAGCCCGACATGGGGCCAACTGGGTGTTCACCACGTTGAGTAAGTTTGATCAACCTGCTTGGCAAAATAAAAGGTGTTTCCCAGCATCCCTCTCAAGTGAAACAGCCCATCTTAATCAACCAGGCGTGTTTCAATCCTGGGTTCCCATTGCGGGGGGTGTTTCTTCTTGGAAGAGATCCTTTGCTTTTGGACAGAACTGCTCTATGAATTGACCAGGTTCATACAATTGGGGTCAATGTATTTTTCCCCACCTGGCATGAATACGCTATCCAATTGTCCCGCAAGGACTCAACATGAACCTCGAGATCGTTTAACAAATCTCTGCAAGCCCATCAAGCAGCTGCTGGATGGACTGGTGATCACAATGGTTTTGGTTTGTGTGAGCCAACATGTTATTAGGTGTTTTTCATGCCTGCCTGGGCTGGATTTGAGGGCGGGTGTGGAGCTTGGTTTCGCTAGAGTTCACAGCAAATGTGAGTCACACACACACACATACACGATCAACTCCGAGCTCACGCGCTCGTCTTCATTGCGACGTGTTTTTGTTGTAGGTTTTGTGTCATCAAGGAATTAAGACCGCGTCTCTGTTGGTGTTTTTGGTTTAGACCAGCCATGTAGTTTCGTGGGGGTTTTGGAGACCAACCGAGCAGGCGAAGTGCAGATCCCGACCGACACAGCGGCATGGGGCCCCAGCGCAGCGCATGTTGTTGGGGGGGGGGGCCTGGTACCCCCCCCCCTTTGTGGTTTTTCCATGAAAGCCAAAAGGAAACCACCAATTTTGGGGGGAATCTCCTAAAAAAATGACAGAAGCTTGCTGGTTCTCCAGAAAGGAATCGCTGGTTTCGGGAATGCATTTCAATACTCCTGGGTTTGGCAGGGTCATCGATCTTGTAGACCATTGCTTCTCCCTACTGTTTTCTCACTCTGCATCTCGGGTTTTTGTTCCCCAAGAACAGTCAAACCGCGGACCAGAAGAACGTCCCCACTAAATTGAAAACCAATATTGGTGTTCGCCGCTTTTACCACAAAAGGCTCCCTTGAGTTTGAACATAGTGGCTTCTTCCCCAATTATGGGACCCGCAAAATGGTTTGTTTTTTGTGGTTTCTCCCTACTAACCACTTAGTCACTTCCCAGAGACAAGATCGAACCTCCCTAGCTTCAGAAAAGGCTCTCAATTCCGAGAACTGACCCGCAGTGCCCATTTTTCTGTTTTGCCCTTTCAAGCCAACAAACACCAGCTGCCCTTTCTGTCCCCGGCTGGAGATTTGCGTGTGCCAAAGAGGTTGCGCCTTGCCTTGAAGGTGGCGGCTCGTGCGTACTCCACCGCTCCCGTGGCTGAGCCGCCGGAGGACGTGTGGATGTGTGGACTTTGGAATTCTCTCAAAATGGCTATCCTAGCTATCCCTTGTAGGTCTTTTGGCCACCTTTTGGGGAAAATTGTTCGACCCCCTCGTAGTGAAGGATTCGTTTTTGAGGGGCGCCCATTTTCTCACAAAAGGTGGCAAAAAGACCCCCCTGACCATCTCACAAGTGGTTAGTGGACCTGAATCCCCACCTTCATGATGCCCAAAGAGTCCCTGATTCACATTCATAGCCAAATGGACTTCCTATGGACAGCTACAACTTTGCAGGTTCCTTGTTTTGACTCCCTTGGTTGCTGGAAACCAAAAGGAATGTTAGGGATCCCTATTTTGAAGAAACACATCTCCCGTGTGTAGTACTGCTCCTTATGCCAGATGGCAGCTGTTTTTGTTGTAGTCGTGATGTCCCACTAATGCAGATTTGGAGTTTGAGAACAATTCAGGAAATTGAAGCAAGTATTTGGGCTGACCCCTATGCCCAATCAGGGAAACCTGAGGAAAATTGCGAAATTGTTGCTTTCCACTGGTCTCCCACAACAATTGTTTTAAGTTGGGAGGGAGGGTGTGCAATTGGACAAACGGGGTTTGAATCAAATCCAGAGACTCTGTGCGTTTCCATGCACGAAGAAAAACAGGTTTTACCCTATGTTTCTTTACCACAAGGAGGGTATCTATTGCGAGCAAGACGATCATTTGCCTACTTGCAGTCAGGTTCCATAGACATGTTGGCACAGCGTGTGCCCCTTTGCGCTTGCCCGTTTCATTTTTTCATTTGGATTTGGTCATCCCATGTGGATATTCTCTCGGCAAATGATCATGTTGCACCTCCTGAAAGCTTGAGAATTTGTGAGCACAGCTGGCAGGATTTGATGACCATCAAGCAGCTGCTTGGCCATATCTAGATTCTAGATGCTTTGGTGGACCGGGATTTAGCCCAATAGGGACAGGGCTTGACACCTCCTGCTTACTTTCTGATTCTCAATAGGGAATCCACGAGGGTTTTGAGAATGAAGTGTTTGGGTTCCCCAAAAAAGGAAACAAGGGGATGGGATCCAACTGATTCCCTGAGAACCAGCGAGTTGTTTCTGGGTCCCTTGAGGCTAAGCTGCAAAGGTCAACTCTCCGGTGACTCAGGCGACATCTCACTCCTTCGGCAGAGCACATGGAGTATGCCGTCGTCCGGGGCCTCAGTGACTCAGGCGAAGGCTGATACGTTCAAAGCCACATATTTTGACCATGGCCGACCTGGACCCGCTAGAGTGGCACCCTGCGTGGTCAATGCTTCGAGGAACCGATATGAAACCATTCAAATGTGGTGAAACGTTGAAAACAAATCCGGATTGCTGTAGGCTACAGTAGGTTTCGGCCCCTTTTTGTGACCATTTGAGGGACATGTCGTTCTGCACAAAGTGGGAGTCGACGCCATGTTTGTCGATTCATGGGTATCGGCCGTTGGGGTTTTGGCTCGGCATAAGCGCATACATTTTGTTGATGGTTTCGGTTGGCTGCGCGTGTGTTTATGTCTGTGTTTTTGTTTCGTGCTTTACCACAAATCCAGGTTTCCTTCTTGGGCGCCCATTTTTTTTTCATGTCTGTGACATATTGAATAGACTTCACGGGTTGTTGGGAAGCACTTTGGAATTTTGCATATTGTGGTTTAGT